ATGAGAAATGAACAAAATCTATCAAATCTAGATTGAAATAAAAATCACAATCGCTAAATTTATGAGATTTATAATCATGTTTTAAATTTACTAAATTCTCCATCTCTCTATATCTCTTAAGTTTTCCCTCATATCTATTCTATCTTCTTATTCTTATAAAACCGTATATCTTCTCTTTCTTCTTCTCTAATATTCTTCTCTTTGATTCCTTTTTAATCTCATGATGATCTCCCAATTTCTATCATCTCCTTCTCTCTTATTCTCTTATCTCTTTTTTCTTCTCTCTTTCTTTCGTTTTCTCTCTTCTCTCTCCTCTCAATCTCTCCATCTTCTATATTCTCTTCTTCTATATTCTCTTTTCTCTCTTCCCATTCTTCTTCTCTATTCCTATTTCTCTCTTCCCATTCTTCTTCCCATTCTTCTTCTCTATTCCTATTTCTCTCTTCCCTCTCTTTTTCGTTTTTCTTTCCCTCTCTCATTCTCTCCCTATTCCTTATTCACTCCTTATTCCTTATTCCTTCTCTCTCGCTCTCTCTCTCTCTCTCTCTCTCTCTCTCTCTCTCTCTCTCTCTCTCTCTCCTCAGCGTAAACGCGCAAAACCGACATGCCGTTTGCGTTGCATCGGTTTTCACCGGTCCTCCTGCACTCGAGGTGCATCGGTGGCATCGGTGGCGTCGGTGCTTCGTGCTTGCGTCGGTGTTTCGTGCTTGCGTCGGGGGGTTGGGGGTGGGGCGGGGGTTCAGGAAAGAGGGGGGGGGGGGAGTGCATCTGTGCTCATACGGGCCGACGTGCAAGGATCATAGGACACAACAAGGGCTTTGGGAGACGTAAAACAGGAATGCGGGGCCTACCGGGTTTCCCTCTCTGTAGTATGTATGTATGTGTATACATATATACACACATAATATCTCTTATTCGCTATCTCAGTATTAAGACGCGATTTATTTCTTAATTATGAATGTTCAATTTTACTTCTGTTCTAACTACTACCGAACTCTACATTACTAACACTAATAATAGTTATCACAATACAACCTTGACCTTTCATAACGAACTTCTTGACTGTGGAAAGTGTATGAACAGATGCACAGAGAGTTCAAATAAAGGAAATCTTCGTAACAAAGAATAACAACAGGTATTGACATTTAAATCTCAAGTCAAGTCTGCAGAAATTCGGAAAATCAAATTGATCCATTCATTTTATTCGCTCTTCTATATCATAGGCGGAGGTTCTTAGCCCCAATTGCCTCTGCGGTTTGGCTTACGGCCTAGTTCTGCGTTTAGGGTTTGGGGCTTAGGTTATCCCTGGATTTTGGTGCAATCAATGCTGAAACGTCGCATAGCTTCTCACAACGTAGGTCTGTCCGCCAACCTTCGTGCTAGTTGCATGGATGTTGCGCCAGCTTGCGAAAATGTCAGGGGTTCTCAATCGTGACACCTCGCACGAAGTGCAATCCCTAAACCCTAAACCCGTAAACCCTAAACCCCTAAACCCTAAACCACTAACTGCAGCTTTGCATCCTGAACCCTGAGCAGCTCTGAAAGGTTCGTTGACTGATCATGCTTTTGGGGCACCACGAACTATCATGGCCTAAGGACAAAGAGCACGCGATGCCTGTATTGAAGACACGGGCCAGTCAGAGTTTAGGGCTTGGGGTACAGTTATGGTGATAATGGTTTCTTTTGGCATATCCTATGTCCCAATGTGGTTTAATGTGCCTCTGATTGCAAATGGGACAGGCAGATCGATTTAGAAGGCAGCGTTGAAAAGAACGAAATTGGTTTGCAACCTTCAGGTCTACGATGGTGATGTCTTTGCCCTCGGATCGAAGCTAGCTTGCACACAAGGCTTAAGGAAGGGCTTTAACAGTAGGACTACTAGGCATTGGAGGCTTTATGATATTCTAGCTATGCTAACCAGGGAGTTTCCGAAAATAGGGGACCCTAATAAACTACCCTAAATAGTGGGATCCTTATAAAAAGGAACCCCCCAAAGTAAGGTACCCCTAATTTTCGGAAACTCAAACACGTCCACAAAGCACGTGCAACAGCGGTGTTTAGGGTTTCGGGTTTAGGGTTACTAAGGAACCTTGCAGAAATGTGCTAGTAGTTAAGTTGCTCAGGAAACCTTCAGAAAAAACTCGGGATGGGTTGGATCAAACACTCCTTCCGGGGAGGCTGGAACGACGGCACCCCAAAAACGTAGCTGTGAGTTTCCGAAAACACACGGAGCTCGTGTTGTGGCAGCATAGAAAGCAAACGCGTATCAGCAAAATTCTGTGTACTTTAGGCGGGCCCTCTTGAACATCATCTCCTTGACCTACCATCAAGGGATCAAGGGAAACTTACACATATCCCCCCCCGAAACCCTAAATTCTAAGTCCAGTGGCCTGCCTATACAAGGCCGACCTGTAGGATCCTTCGCACAGGGCCTTTAAACTTTTTGATGTCTATCATGTAGAAGCCTGCTAACATTGGGTTCTTGCGGAGTTAGGGCCAGGCTCGTGGCCTTGTCAGGCAGACCGGCTTAGGGTAAAGGGCTTAGAATCCCTAATTCTCTAAACCCAACACCCGCAACCCCTAACCCTAACTACTATTCAGGGTGCAATAAAAGGGTCCCCTATTTTCGGGAACTCCCTAGAAGCTGCGCCCACCCTGTAATAGTGGTATAATAGGAACAAAACAGGGCCCTAATAGAATCCTTATAGTCACTATTACAGGGTGGGGGCCGCTTCTAAGAACTCCCAGATTGACCAACCTTGAACCCCAAGTCGACGAGCCTCCGAATACTGGTGCTCTTCACCTTTCGAGGTTAGGAGGCTCGGCTCTTCCCGCGCCTGTCGGCCAGGACCCAATGGCCCTTTAATGGAGCCCTCAAGGCTCCAAACCCTAAACCCTGAGCCGTGGCTCTTTATGGTGGATATTTGGGGTATACTAGAGGTTAGTTCGGGGGTCTACGGGCTTAGGGCTTACGATTTAATCGTTGTGGGGTTGGGTGCCTTCGACTCAAGGACCAGGTTCAAGTGTCGGGTGTCTTCATGCTTAGGATGTCGGTTGATTCCGGGTTTGATGGGAGACCAAAAGGGGGGTTTGAGATTCTTGGGGTAGGGATTCCTTAATATGAAGCCTATTATGGGAACCCTAACCCCTACTAAACCCCCATAGGCCAAAACCCCTTTTGGCCTCCTAGAAGGGTTAAGGGCTCTAGGGCTTGAGGGCGCCAGGTTCCTGAAAGACCAAATGACCCTTAAAAGTAGGGGCCCTATACCCATGTACCATGACTCCCTATATGGTGTATGAACCTTAAACCCTTTTAGGGTTCATTTCGTCCTTAAGGTTTGGGGTTGTGGGGCTTTGGGGCATAAGGTTTTAACGGTTTTGGGCTTGGCCTCAGCCGCGCGGTTGGGTGCTCATGACCTTTGAGCCCAACTCTACTACAGAGCCCTACCAGGGAAGCTTTGAGGTGTTCAGGTATACTGTGACAATAAGAACTTCACAGGCAAAGAACTTTCGGAAGTCCCGACAGCAGGAGGAGAGTAACAGCTCAAGGCCTGGGCTTTTAAACCCGAAGGGCTTTGATTCCCTAAACCCTAAACCCCAAGTTCTACATGAGCCAGCGGCAAAACCTATGAAACCGCCTTCCCAACCTCTATATGGGGTTATCGCTTTTGGGCAGGCACCTTATCGTTCTGCAGGATTTCCCGGTATATATCTACAAACGATCTTTTATACATATTGGGCCTGAAGCAACAGGGCCGAGGCTGCAAGGTTCTGTAAGGTAGTCCTTGACTTCTGTCTCACCGGTTGAAGAAAGGATCGAGTCTATAGCGCGTGGGGCTTCAGGTTGCTGAGTTGGAAGTTCCCCACATAAAACAAGCCATGTGGGCATGTGGTGGTTATGACTACAAAACCAACCTGGCGGGTTATCGCTTCGTTATCGATTTAGACACAATCTGAACAACCTGCAACATGTGCAGAATTTAACCTCTCGTGATACACAAGCTCCTTTTGATGTTATCCAAGGGTTATCGCTTCCGGGCAGGCGCCTTATCGTTCTGCAACGTAAACGTTAACATCCTGATGTCCAGGTAGGCCCACAGACTAATCCCACGTACGGAGAGAAACGCCTGTAGCTCACATGCAAAAAGCCAATCTTAAGGGCTTCTTTTGGAAAGCACCCCCTAAACCAAAGTCTTTTGGAGAGCACCTCAGGGCCCAACCCAACTCACGATTCGAACACCGAGCTTCGAAGCCCCTCAACCCAGACTGCTTTCCCTGGAAGCCCCAAGCCCAAAAACCCTAAACCCCTAATCCCTACACCCTAAACCAGACCCGAGATCCTAAATCTAAGGCGTCTCTACAATCAAGACCAAAAGCATGGCAGTCGAGCAACTCCCTTCACAAGCCGCGGGGTTCAAGAAGTTCTCCGTTTCAGAGTCTGGGGCTTTATGAGGCTTTGCAGGGTCCAACCGAGCCTCGAAAACGAACATTTCCAGGCTCTCAGATGTGCCTCGTTTCCCCAGGGCAGTACCAAAAACATAGGCTGTTTTGGCTTACCACTATAAGCTTGTTGATTGCCTAGAAACGAACAAGCACCTACTGGCCAACGCATACTTGCCTAGCCGCCTAGCCTGAGTGTATGTTGGCATGTCAACCTGATTGGCACGATTGAAGCTCGCCTTGACGACAAGCTGCCCAACCCTAAGCCCTAAACATCATCTAGAATCTGATGGTCTAGGGTTGCCCTAAGCATCATCTAGAATCTGATGGTTTAGGGTTGCCCTAAACATCATCTAGAACCTGATGGTTTAATACATCATCTAGAATCTGATGGTTTAGGGTTGGTTTCGGGCGTGTTCGAGTCCCGATTGCGTGCAGGCTTTCAGGATTAGGCTCGGGCTTCGGGGCGCCATATAGGGTTTAGGGTTTAGGAGTTTAGGATTTAGGAGTTTAAGGTTTAGGGGTGCGGGGTTTCGGGTTTAGGAGTTTAGGATTTAGGGGTTTAAGGTTTAGGGGTGTAGGGTTTAGGGGTTTAGGAGTTTAGGATTTAGGGGTTTAGGGTTTCGGGTTTAGGGTTTAGGATTTAGGGGTTTAAGGTTTAGGGGTGTAGGGTTTAGGGGTTTAGGGTTTAGGGGTTTAAGGTTTAGGGGTGTAGGGTTTAGGGTATACAGTAGAAGCCCAAAAGTTGGAAACCCAATAGCCTCAGTCCTTAAGAGTAATGTATAGGGAATCCCAGCACTATTTGGCCTCAATCCGGTTTCCACTTTATGGGGCTTACTGTAGTTATTGATAAGCGGAACCTTTTAATTACTGATTTAGCTTATTCAAGTCCCTGAGTTAAACCTCTCTGAAGTGTACTGCCAACTAGCTTTGGGGTATCGGCTGTAAGGGCCAGCCACTGAAACCGCAGTGCAAAGTTTCAGGAGAAGGGTTTTATAAGTCTTCCTTCCCGGATTTCCAGCTAAGGCGCGCGGGGTTTAGGATCTAGGGGTGCCTCCGTAGGGGTTTTCGGTAGGGTTTGCGCTTCGGGCATCAGCCAAACTTCCGTGTTGCTAGACTGCGATGCTCCCTAAACAAAAACCCTGCTACCCCATGGGCTAACCTTTTAAACCGCTCAACTCCATGCGCTGCATGTTGTTGACGTGTCCTACAAGACTCTTTCTAGGTCTTGCACGAAAGTTTGGCTCATATGCAGCAACACCTTACCGTCTCGATTCCGGACATGGCAACCCGATTCCTTACGTACACAAATTTCAACCTGCCCGAACCTCAAGTATTGTACTGTCAAAAGTTTTTTGGGGGGCTTATATTCAGACCCTACCTTCATCAAACCGGTATGGGTAGCGGAAGTCTATTGCAAGATCGTGGCTTGCAGCCCGTTCCGGGCACCGCACCTTCCAGAGACATCTGCCTCTTCACAGCATCCTTGCATGCCTTGAGAGCTTTAGGGTTTAGGGTTTAGGGTTCTTTGAGTTTGGGGATGAGGCTGTTGGGGAGATTTTTTGTGGTTTGGGGGTGTGGTTTGGGGCTTGGGTTTGCTTCTGGGGTTAAGGGCTCTCAGGGCTCAGCTGGTTTCGTTTGGCCTCGCAGGATAGCCTTAGAATACGAGGCACAAGATTGGGGCGATGAGAGCTGGCGGGGTATATCATTCTATCTTTGTAGAAGGAATGAAAAGGGATAATAGATTTACTAATGATTTACTGTTGGGCCCTTACCAACTTCAGGGTTGTTCATGGATTCGTGCTTAGAGCTCCAGTGCCTGGGATCGGGCACTAGGATTACAGGGTTCAGTGGCTGGGTGCACGGTTGCTTGGGGTTCAGAAGGCAGATGGGCATGTGACGATGGCCCGACACTTGACCCTCAGAACACAGAGCCTTAGTACTGGACGTGTACAAATTGACACTAGTGCAAGAACGACGGCAACCATGGCGCAGAGAGGCGTTGTGCGGTTTGGGACAGACACCCCCAAACTCAAAAGCCCTCAAACGATCCAAAGCTGAGAGACGGGGCGGCATACTTTGCAGACGAACCCGCATCGTGAGAATGCCAACCCTACACCCTCAACCCTAAACTCCTAAATCCTTATAACACTACACCCTAAATCCTAAACCCTAAACTCTAAAGCCCTAAAGCCCTAAACCCTTATAACCCTAAACCCTAATCCTAAACCCTAAATCCTAAACCCTAAATTTTAAACCCTAAACTCCTAAATCCTGACTCCTGAGAGCCCTCCGAACTTCAAAGTCGGTCGCAGCCTGGGAGACCTGTACTCTTCCCTCAGGTGCCGTGGATTCCAACACCTCAAGGGACTCTGCCGGGTTTAAGGGTTTAGGGGTTGAGGGTTTAGGGGTTTAGGGGTTTAGGGGTTTAGGGTTTAGGGGTTTAGGGTTCAGGGGTTTAGGGTTTAGGGGATAGGGGTTAGGGTTTCTTTGGGGGTCCTGTAAGGGATCCGTCCAAGATTGAACCAGCATGCAGGCCCTAACCCTACAAAGCCCTAAGGCCCGCGGCCCGCACCCGACACCCTAAACCCCAATCCTTGTGTCTACGAGCCTCCAGAAATCCAGCACCCTTTTTCTCACTGTTTGGCTTCAACAAATAAGGCAACCCAAACAAAAAGGCAGAAGGGTCCAACTGGTTTCCAAAAATAGCACGGCACTTTGTACCCTTTTATGCAACCCTGTTCGTAACCTTAGAAGCAGAGACGGCTTTTTCTTACAAAAGCGTGGCCGGCCTCAACCTCCGTCATGAGCTTGCCGAAGAGATGGTATCTGCGATGTCTAGGGGCTTCGGGCGTTGAGGGTGTCGGGTTTGGGGCTTAGGGTCCTTTCGGCTGAGGGTTTAAGGCTGAGGGTTTAGGGCGTTGAAGGTGTTGAGGGATTCGGCCTTCGAGGGCTTAGTTGAGGGTGTAGGGTTCTTAGGGGTTTAGGTTTCGGTGCTAGGGAGCTTTCCTCTTTTTTAGAAACAGACAAGGGCCTTCCACATCTAAATTTTCATGCCGCGCACAGATTGAGGGTGAAGGGATTGGCTTTCGGGTGTAGGGTGTAGGGCTGGAGTTTAGGGTGGGCATTGCACACCGTAGTTCACCTGAGAGTCATGAAACTGACCAGGACCTGCAGATGCGATGGTTGTCACATCAAACGCTGGACTGAAGTTACCGCATCGCCCAGACCTGTGAAAACACTTTGGGAATTGTGAACGCAGTCAACGCTCTCGTGCACGCGAATGAGACTAGGATCAGCAATGAAGGTAGGTACAGTAGGTTTCATGTGTATACATATATACATATATATATGTGCATATGTATATGCAAATATTGGTTTATGTACTTATGTAAGTCTGTACATCTGTATACATGGTATATATATATATATATATGTATATATGTAAATACACAAATTAATTGGTATGCATATATATATACATACACATATGTATGTTCCCACTCTTGCCTTTGCATCTCTGTGCCGACGATGCCGCCGATGCATTCCCCGCTGTGGACGCCGACGCGACAACTGACGGCAGGAGTGAGCTTCGCAGGCTTGGGGTCTCATCGTCAACCTCTGAAGTCCTAAATCCTAGTGGAAGGCTGAAGTTCTTGAGGTGCCCAGGCTAAAGGCATGGCTGTTGAACGCACTAAGCAAACCTTGGACGCTGTCGAGTCTATCTATCGACCTATCCATCGATCGATCTGTCTGTCGATCCTGTTGACTGACGACTGCCAATCATGGCGTTCGGGACATGTGGACGAAGTTCTTTGACGCACTTTCGTCGCCAACCCTGCAGCCCACGAAACCAATGAGACGTACTGTCCTCCAGTCGGCTTTCCAAAAATGCCGCAGTATCAGATTAGGTTTCAAGAATCTCTTTTGGGCTCTAGAATGTAGAATGAGCTATGGCTCACAACGATCCAAGAAAGCATAACTAACCCTGAGTTCAGCCAGCAGAAGCAGACGCTGCCCGTCATCAGGGAACACCTGAAACAACACACCAATACAGGGCCCCTTATTAAGTATGAACATGTCAACAAGGACTTCCCGGAGATACTATCTCTAATTTTACCGATCCCTCCTCCACCTCATCTGCAGTCTTTGAAATCCCGCCTCACTTGCTCGTTCATCCGCCGCGACCATTTGTGTGTCTCAAGCACCTGAAGACCCTAAACCCTAAACCGGAGTTCTGGTTCTGAGGAGTGCGGAGCCCAAAGCCTGGAGGTCAAGATTTGATCTTCCGGTCATAGTTATGTACCTTTATGGTAGCCCCAAAAGAACCATTACAGTTACACTTATGGATATCCTTGCAGTAATCCCCAAGAGCGCAAACTCCTCTCGCCTCTCGCCCGGTAAACCAGAAACGCTAGTGAAACGCAAAATCAACTTGAACGAGGGTTTAGGGTTGAGGCTACAACACTAGTATACCAAACAAGAAAAGACAACATCAGATAAGATTATACGAAAAACATAGTACACCTTCCGAAAGAAACAATCGGCTCTCAATTTATCGACACTAATGCTTGTGGTCACTGGTACTACAAAGGGGCTTGCAGAAGATACAGGCTCCTTCGCCCTAACCCTAAATCCCTCAACCCCTATAAGCCGTGGACCGCAAAAACCCGTAAATCCTAAGACCTCAACCCCACAAGAAAACATCCACATACGATGTTTCCGGGCCGGCTGCCATGTCCAGGCCAAAGCGAACCTTGGCTTTGTTTTTCGAGGGTTTAAGGCCTTAGGGTTTAGAGACTCGGGGATTTGGGGATTTAGGCTTTGGAAGATTAGTGTTAGGGCTTGGGGTTCATTTAGGGTTGTTGGGTTTAGAGTTTATAGATTTGGGGATGTAGGGGTTTAGGGTTTAGGGATTTCGGGTTTAGGGGACTGCGGTTTGGAGTTTAAAGGTTTATATGATGAAGGTTGAGGGTGGGGGTTTGGGGACACAGGGATTTCGGATCTGGCGGTTAAGGTTTGGGGGCGTTAAGGATTCAGGTTAAGAGGGTCTTTTGAGGCGACAGCTTTCGCATGAAGACGTGGCAGCTCGCTGTCTGTCTATACATGTAGGTCTTATGCATCTAGAGCGCCCCGTAGAGAAAACATACAGCACGCAAATATGACGAATGCTCTTAGCATTTTGAAGTAATTAAAAAACACATACAGTTAACATAAACCACACGATATAAAAATCAGGACAGTAGCGACAAACAACAGGAGAGGGTGCTATGCCCAAAAACAAAATCATAAGGTAGCGTGTACCGGGAGGCTGCAGACTTGCGTGAGTTGAGTGCGTGATGAGGTGGCTGCTGAATCCTTGCAGGGCTTAGGGTCTTAATTGCGGCTTACAAAATTTAGGGTCTTAATTAAAGCTTTCAGGGTTTAGTGTTGAGGGACCATTAAACCGACAACCGGAAATCCCTGAACCCTAAACGCTGAGTTCCTTCGACTTAACCCTACACCCTGAACGCGGAGTACCGTTATGCATGCAAAGTATAACAAAGCTGCCCGAAAAAACAACCCCAAGACTGAAACTTAAACAAATTCAGGATTTGAGGATCTGAAACCCTCTATACCCTACAACCAAAACGCCTAAGCCCTAAACCCTAAACTCCTGTTACGTGGGATCCATGCTTGGGGTTCCGTGCCCCCAAACGTTCCCAAGCCCGCAAGGCATAGAGAAGGACACGGTTTCATACTGTTGATGATATAAGTCCCATAGTAAGGAACGTACCATTATTCCCATAGTTTAATAAGATCCTGAAGGTAATGCAGGATGTATATCAGTATATCATCAACTGTAGTTTTCGGGCTTACGCAGAAAATTCCTGCAGGGGTTTTGGAACTAAGGGTGCAAGGTTCAGTGGTAGTTGAATTCACGGAAGAAGCAGCAAAGCATTGCAAAACCCTACAATAGGCATGATAGTTCAATAGAGCCTTGTGTAGTTAAACTATAGTCAGAGACCCATAGTCACTTATATAGTGGAATTATACCCTGGTCTCGTTCTTGATGGCTTCCAGACTGGAGCATGAAATCAGAAATCTAAAGACCAAGCCATGGGGCGACATTCATGGGCGAGTTCTTGAATGTCAAAGGCACCTCCGCCTGCCCGACACGACTTCGATAAAGGCCGTATGTAGTGGCCTTCATATTTAGAATACGGATTTGGAGCCGCTTTCTGCAAATTTATATCTCAAAACGAGGAACTCTCGGGTACTTGAACAAGATTCTATGTTGCTTTGTTGTTGCTGTACACATGTTACATTTACCCCCTTGTCCAGATGTCAGACCTTCCTGTTCGGGGACATGTGGGTTGTCACGGTTAAGGGTTCGATGTTGTGGACTTAGGGTTTAGGGTAGTTTAGGCTTTTCGGCGAGGGTTCGGGGCTACAGGTGTAGCTTCCATGATTTGCCTTTAACATTGTTTGTGTTTCTTTTTAAAGGAAGATTTGAACTCTCTTGCAAGTCCTGGGTCCTGGCAGTCGCTTTTGAGCGACCGCGCGCATCGCTTGCTGCGTCGATGTCCCTGTGCTTCGTCAGGCAGCCTTCAAACCTTGGCAGAGAGCCAACTTGGAATCACGGAATGTCGGTCGCTGCGAGTCTTTCTGCTGAGCTTCTGACTGGCGGCCTATCCTCACCGTTGAAGAGCCGGGACAGCCGGGCCTCCTGCATCTTCTGCCAGCTGCGCTTATTGCTCTGTCGGTGACAGTGGCGTGGTGCGTGTCCAAGTCTGCCTCGTCCTCCTCACGTAGTCAGCTTCGTCCCTGCCTGCTTGTGGCTCCAACGGCGGCATGCTGATCAGCGTGACGGGCTGTCACAACGTGGAGATGCGCTCTTTGCTCGAGAGTACTCTCGAGCTGAACGCCATCTTGAACTGCGCACCTCAGCGACCCGTTCAAACAGATTTCTTGCGGTCCTTGCCGGTCTGAGCCCGCGGCCCTCCCCAAGTTCACCTTTGCGAACTTCCACGCCGCGGTCCAGACGTGGCTGTTTCTGCCGACCTGAGTTGAGTCGGAACATTGCTCTCGGTGGATCAGGTTGTTGGCCTGGCTTCCGGCCTGGACCGTGTGGCTTTCGCCGTGGAGGAAGTTTATGGTGAGGTGATGGCTGAGCTGCATAGCTGACGTCAGGACCTGGTTATGCGCGAGGTCAGCTTCGAGGCGTTGGCGTCGCGGCTGATGCCTTCGGCTTCATCGCTCGTTGGACTTGCGAAGCCATCTTGCAGAGAGCCGTGGTGGTGTTGCATCTGGTTGATGGCTGCGTCTCGCCATGGCTCACTGCCTCGAGCTGCCCTTCACGTGTTGCTTGAACCAGGTGCCACGATGACATGCGGAGTTCCCCACACCTTGTCCTCACAAGTGTTGAACCACTCTATACCCTAGATGAACGAAGGTGGTGCTCGCGGCTCGCGTCGTCCGCCATCAGGAAACATTGCAGGTTGCTTTCGAATCCTCCCTGCGGTATGGTCCTTTGTCCTTTCGTGTGCCGGGGGGCTGGGCTTGGGCTTCTGGGTTTGGGGCTTCAATATTTTCGGGTGAGTTGACCTGGAGTTGGGGGTAACAGGCTACTATTTGTGTGCGAACGTAGAAACACCGGAAGAAGTAAGTGTGGTCATAAAACCATGATATTTTCTCACGTGTAATTAACCCTCCTGCTAAGAATGGGCTTCCGTTGCTTGGAGGAGTTGAGTGGGCAGCGTGATGCAGGTCGCTACTGAGTGCACCTCAAGATCTCAATTGCGTTAGAGCCACCAGATCCTCCAACGGCAACAGAGCCGACGGTTTAGGGTTTAGGGCTTAGCCTAGACTCAGACTAACGGCCTACAAGAAATACAAGCCCCGAACCGTGTTACAACCGAGCCTGCATCAGTACACTTAGCCCCTAACTGAAGCCTAAAGGCAGCAGGACCCTCAACCTAAACCCCCCAGACCCTTAAACACTTGAAGCCTAAAACACAACATCTTAAAACCTCAAACCCCTGAACCCCTAAGCGCTTAAACCCTTCAATCATAAACCCCACATCCTAAACTAAGGTCATCGGCTCCACCTGACCAGCGATGTACGCATCGCCCACCGTTTCGACCTCCCCGGCCCGAACATCGGGGCGTTAATTACTTAGTTGCTGAGCTCATAAGCCCCCAAAACTGTACACTTTCAGTTTTGTATTGGGTAATATTATCACAAAAAGTGTAAAGTGTATCCACTCAGCTACTAAGATTAGGTTCCCCAATGCCCCCTGAAGGTACCAGTCAGTCGTTAATCAGGGAGCCCTAAAATAAAATGCAAGAGTGTATACTACTGGGCACCTGGTAGAATAGGGCTCCTTTGCGCAGATTCGGAAAACGGTTACATAAAGAATCTTACGAGTACTGCAGAGAGAAGTGCAGGCACAAAATGTCTTGATGCCTTGCGTTTAAGGTGGCGCGGCTTCTTAACCATCATGAACGTAAAGACGTTCACCAAAAGAACCCCTAACGACACCCCTAAACCCTAAACCCTAAACCCCTAAACCCTAAAGTTAAGGTCCTACGATCCTGTGTAGTCTGTTTAAGTCCCCAGCCGTAACCCGAAAATCTGAGCACTCGTGAATGATGTTGGTTCAAGCTGGGTGCCCCTTCACCCTAAACTCTAAAACCCTAAAACCCTAAACCCTAAAACCCTAAAACCCTAAACCCTATACCCTATAACCCTATACCCTAAACTCCTAAACCTTGACAGTGTCTTGAACTCTTTTCAAGCCTCTCGTCGACTGAGTTCGCTGGACTACGACATGAGAGGATCAGTCATGGTAGGGTTATTAGGCCCCGAGAACTTAAGGGTTTGGGCTTGAAGTTGAATTCAACATTACGCAAACCCCTGGACCTTAAGGGTGCAGTGTAGGAGTATATGCACGAACTTGAGGGTTACCTGCCCGAGCTACGAGGATCCAACCAACTAAGACCTGTCACTACAACACCTTGCTGTTACTTGGAGGTTCATGGGTAGTTATAAGTAGGCTAATAATTAGGGTAACTAGACTTAGCCATACTAGGGGACTTATAACCCCACTTATAACTACCCCTGAACCTCCAAGTAGTCCTCCGAATGTCCAGCTGCAGGCCTTTTTTCAACCCAAGGCTGGTTGGAGGACCCTCCCCTCCCCTCCTCCCCTCCCCTCCCCTCCCCTCCATCGCACACACACACACACAAAGTAGAATCCGACCACCCTCATCAACTGGGTGTTTGGGTTGGGATGTGAGGTGGACATGTTTACGACTTGCCGGTTCGGCGGCTGCGGTTAACGGTGCTTTCAGGGTTGAGGGGGCCAAACGCTAAACCCTAACAAGGCTCGGATTCAGGCGCTCGCCTTGTACACTTCGTACTTGTCGGTCAGTTTGTCGAACAGCCTGGCGCAAAGCGCCAGTGGATGCAAAACACTCAGAGTGAATCCCTGAGAGTTCCAGGAACCCGAAGCAAGGTTTCCACTAGGCCACTGGCGCCAATAATCATTCAAGGAATATACCCTTTTGAGTGCTGAGGCCCCATGCCTTCAAGGCTAAAGCCCTAAGTCCAAAAGCCGTAAGCACTCGAAGCTAAACCCCTTGGCCTGTCCGTGAAGTTGACTCCCAGAAGCAACACTGGGATCCGAATGAGACGTCGCCGGCGGCACCCAAAGAGCTCGCCAATGAAGCTAACAACCTGTCAGGCGACCCATATAGGGTCCTAATTACAATAGGGCTGAGGGGTATCCTACCATAACAATAATCAGGAATTGGTAGGTATTTAGGCCGCCACATTAACGTTTAAAAGGGTGCTTCAAAGGTTTCCTTTCAGGAACCTATGAGGGTACCGCAAGGGTTAAGGACACACGGCTCTTTGTGCCTATGTTGTTTTTTCGTGTGGGCTTAAACTAAAGTACCTCTATAGGAACCCTATTAAGGCCAAAATACATCCGAAACAGGACCTCGATCAGGGAGTTTAGAAATGCTATTTTCCGTGGAGGGGTAGTGGGGGGGGGTGAAGGGTTTCAGCAAGGCAAGGCTTTGGGAGTAGTATAGGGGCCTTAATGATTAAAATAGGGTGCTACTATAAGGGATCTGTAAGGGCACTATAGTAGAGGGGCCTTAATTGTTAGAGTAGGGTTTCGGGGCCCACTATACTACAATTACAATAAGGAGCCCCCCACCATAGTATTGGTCAGTATTGAGGCCCCTATATTAGTAACTCAGGGTTGAAGATTTACGATTCCTGGTTTTCTCTGAAGAGACCAGCGCAAGAAGATGCACAAGTAGTCATAGTCGGCGGCGGCGTCTGCTTCAAGAAGCGTTTGAACCTTCGGTTCCAAATCTGTCGAGCTCAAGATGTAGATGCCATCATCCGTATTCTGAATGCATAGCTCAGAAGTAGTGATCAAACTGCGCCCCAAACCCAGAAACATGATCTATCAAGTCAGGTCCACGGCAGCTGTCAATCAACCTAACCCTAAGCTCTCAACCCTAACCCTACTAAGCAACCCAGGCCCAGAATCAGAGATTCGGGCTTTCGGATTTAGGGCTCATGGGTATTCCAGCAAGAAGCGCAGAGGCCACTTTAATTCGACCCAGCCATGTAGTGTTCTAGCTTGTAGGCATTGTAAACAGCCGGGCATTATGAATAGCTGCGTATCCCTATATCGGCAGAATCGATGTCTTCATCAAACCGTGGCCTCTTCTGGGTTCCGTGTACTCGCCAACTTGGTGAAGCCACACAGGTCCTGAGAAGTTACGGCTTGCAAGCCGTGGGCAAAACTTGAAACCTGATTCATTGGGAGTACTCGCTCCTGTCGTCCTTGTGTACTGTAATAAGCTAGTTGCTGTGGTAAGATAGTATGGCGCAAGACTTCTATTCGGAAAAATGGGCCCTATGTTATCGAGAACGATTATAGGATTGCCAGGAGACAAGGCGCACAGAGCTCCGAGAGGCTATCCTGCTAGGGTTTAGGGTTTCTGCCTTTCTGGTGTGGCATAGTTTGCATGTGCTTGCGTCTCCTTCACGTGGAAGCGCCGAAAGCATGTGCATCTCAATCCAGCAGCTAAAGAACATCATGGATTCGTCGTTCAGTGCGAGCATAGCACCCGGAGTGACAGAGAGGTTGTAGCGAAAAGCACCGAAACCGCAACGGACATAGGCCAAGGATCTAGTTTCAGGCTTCGAGTATAGGGCTGTAGGGCTCTTAAGACTCAGACCTTTTAGGTTTCAGCGTTATAGTTTCAAAGATTCGGCTCTTTAGGTTTTGGGACTATCGCTCCATCGTTTCGAGTTTAAGGTTCCGGCATTGTTCTGCTAAGAACCGGAGCAGGTGAGGGTTCACCCAAGGTTCGGTTCATTTTTTAACCTCCAAAAACCCTAAACCCACAAAAACCTCAACACCAAACCAACACCCACAACCCTACACCTACACCCCTTTCTAGAGCTCCCGGTCATTCCCGGTCTCTATGGTAACCCCCGTCGACGAAGCGCAAGGAAATCCTACAGAAGCTGTAACCGAACCCTCACTTAGGTCCCACGCTGATTGGGCGATGGTGGCCTTCCGATAGAGGTGCGAAGGGAAGGCCTGACGGCAGTGCTGACGAAAAACAACGCTCTTTGCAAAAAAAGTTCTACTGTTGATGAATGTAAATCCTGCAATACCTATAAGAATGTGGAATATACCTTTATTCCCATAGTTATTAGGCTCCTTAAGGCAATGCAGGATTTAGACCATCAGCCATAGCACTACAGGGATTCTAGTTGGGTTGCAGACGTCGGGGGAGTTCGGGTTTAGATTGCAGTGTTAGGATTCAAGGTTTAGAGTTGCGGGCTCAGTTGGATTGAGCGACTGTGTCCCTAAGCTGACAATGATTTCAGGAACAATCCATGTGATCCCTACACCCTATTACACAAATCGACCCAAAGTTCAAGCTTCGAATGCTGTCGTGGGATCATCGGAGCTACTTGGTGAAAGCTCGGAGGCCGTGGGTAAGGTTTGTAGAAACTCTGAAAACCTTTACCCGAAATCGTTACCCTCAAGTTGAAGAATGCAGGTGCCGTTTCAGGCCAGGATCCCGGCGCTTTCTTCAGTTCTTGTTCGGTTAGACAACAATGAAACGAAGTCCGCCAAGTGGGTCCTGGATCCCCTTGAACGACTAGGCCCCGAACCTTCTAAGCTGTGGTCCCCCAAACAGCCCTCCGGTTTAGGGTTTACGGTTTAGGGTTCAGGAAACTCTAAACTCTAAGACCAACACCTGTGGCTGAGGCCTAGCTCTACATTCTACATCAAGCCACAAACGCAGGCCCACAAACTTCGAACCATGAACGGCCTGAACCCAAATCCTGAATCCCTGAAACCCAACCCTAAACCCTTCACTTTAAACTCTAAACCTTGAACCCCTAACACCCTGAACCAGTAAGGCCCCCCCTAAACTCCTCACCCTGAAACCCAAGTCCCAAAACCTTGAGCAAGTATCGCGACCTTAAAGAAGCACTTTCAATAACAAAGACCACCTTTTTTTTGGGCACCCACACACACGCACGCGCACACGACAAACAACGACTCAGAATAAAGCCCTTACCCTAAGGGTCCAAAGCACCCAATAATCAGATACTCGGGTTTGGGATGATAGTTATGTAGGTTACAAAATTGGAGAGTATATGATAGTTAGGCACTTGGACCGTTAGGGTTAAGACCCATACAACCTTTGCAAGAACGAAAAAAACCTAACAGAATAGAGACCTTAAGACGCATACGACTTTTGTAAGAATTGACCCCTGGCTTCGCGAAAAGCGTAGCCTGGTTGAAACCAGCATCCCGCAGGTCCTGGCATCGGCAGCTTCTTGGAGGGTTTAGGGTTTACCTTAACCCTGAAGAGCCTACCTTTTTAAGGACATTATATAAGGCAGTCATAATAGCGAAACCCCAAAAACGTAGGTTCTTCAGGGTTAAGGTAGGGTTTAAGGGTTTAGGGTTTAAGGGTTTGGTTTGGGTTTAAGATTTTTTTTGAGCTCCTTCTTCCAGGAGGCTGCAGCCTGCGACTCTAAGAAGGCCAAAGGAGGCCAGGAGAGACGCCAGGGTTTACCGTTAAGGGTTACATGTATAACAACAGTAGACAACCATGAAGGTTGATATCATGTTTAGGGCAGTTTTCTGCTGTTGATACGATTGTTACAACGACTACTAGCTAGAAGTAACAAGTAGGATGATAACGATGACGATGATCATAACAGCTGGTATTCAAGACACGCGTGCTTCTGTTGAAAGGGGCATGCGCACTGCTTTAGGCTTCTTGGTCCAGGGCTTCCGGGTGCGGGCTTGACATTTAACATGTTAGGGCATCTAGGGGTTTAGGTTGTGTAGCGATTATTTATGGGTTGTACTGTAGGGATTCAGCGTTAGGGCTGTAGCATGCAGTGTACCTGAATGACTGCATGCCTCAGGTGTGTCATGCGCTTGCCCGTTTAAGGCCCTTTGGCCTCCTGAATTGTCGAATCTTGCATGAGCAAATCTCAGGACTCTTTGGTGTTAGGTGTCGGGATCTAGGTTTAGGGTAATTATAAGACACCCCACGACCACATACCTTTGAACAGAAATCGTATGCTGCAGATGGCTTTCCGGCATTGATCCTCCCTTAGATGCCAACTGGAGTATCCTCCTGTGACTCTCTTCACCCAGATACGCAAGGGGCTCCCAGAAAAAGGATGCCTGTCCTGGTTTGAACATGTTTCGATTTCTGATATCTACCGTACCACCAGAAGCATGCGCGCACTGGAATGCAGTTTGGCTCGCGCGGTTATTTCCCCCTACTCGTCTTTCAATGTAAGTGTAATCCTTGTCATGTCACTCTTGGCACTTACCTCAGGGGCTTATAGGGGATGATTTGGGCGTGGAGGCTGCTTGCCCGACTCCTCGGAAAGGCTTCGCATGATGAGAGTTCTCCAATGCTGAACATTCTCAACACCTGACCTCCTCGAGCCTGAGCCTTTCAAGAAGCGCTTAGCATGATACTGTGACCCTGAACTCCGAACCTAAACCCAAAAGCTTTCGGGGATGCTGCAGTACATGATTGGGGAGCCTCCGTCTTGCGGTTTCCAACCAGCGCTACGACCAAAATCAACACACTCTCAACACCCCACGCTGCAGGGCCTCGACGACCATAACCGGCATCAAGGTGTTCCTCAGTAGCAGGACGAATCACTGTACATGGCATCCCAAGCAGGTCTGTCATGTAGGGATAACCTGACACCCTCAACCTGAAACCACTAATGTAGGGGCCTTAATCATTAGAATAAGATTTTGGTGCCCATTCTACTATAATTATAATCAGGAACCCCCAAAATAGTATATAGGTAATTATTTCGGCCACTGTAGTATCCGCCAAAATCGTATAGGTAATTCTTTAGGCCCCCTATAGTATCCGCCAATTCCGGGATCCGAGATGCAGGATGGACTCCGTCCTCTCGTGCGTGACCTCCACCGCCCGCTTTGCCTTCGGCTCGGCTGACGGGGCTGAGCTTGCGGCTGATGATATAAATCCTAGGGCCTAGGGTTCCTTTAAAGGGATCTATAAGGCTTCCTTTAATGGGATCTACAAGGGATCTATTAGGGTTTAGGGTTGATGATATAACTCCTGCATTACCCATAATGAGGAATATATATATATATATATATATATATTTATATACCATAATTCCCAGAGTTTAGGATCCTTAAGGAAATGCAGGATTTAGATCATCTACCGTTACCTTTGGTTAGTAGGGAATGGAAGAATGGTAGTAATATGTACCCCATTCCTCCATTCCCTACTTACCAAAGGTAAGTGAGAGGTGGGTCCTGCCGCCCCTGGTCCACACATCGGCTAATGTGCAAAAGGGCACCAGAAACAAAGAACTGAACGGAAGCTCATCCTAGAGTCGACTTGCATTGCAATGCTGCTTGCAGTGTGTGCGCTCTGCAGTAAGTGCAGAGTATTTCGTAGTAAACTGCTTGGAAGAGGAGGAAGTATGCCCCCCGCGACAGAGTTTTCACAACAAGATGCCCCACATAAACCTCATGCCACACTCTCAACCCTAAACCCTAAACCCTAAACCCTACGCACCCCAAGCCCCAAATCCGCTAGATGCTAAGACTGCGCCCTGAAACTCTTCCTGAGGCTACAGGCTCATGCTTACAATGAGAAGATCCTCAGGAAACCGGCCCTTTCCCTTTGGAAATGACCCATTTATGCAACACGTATAGGGTTGTGCCGTGAAGGCCTCGGGGTGCACGACTGAGGGGCGCAGCTAGGTCGGGGTTTCCGAAAATAGCGGACCCTAATATAGTACCCTACATAGTAGGATCCTTATTATAAGGACCCTAAAATAAGGTACCCCTTGTTTTCGGAAACTCCCAAGTGGGTGATCAGTAGTGGAAGATGCTTACTGAGCTCCCAGATCATGGGCTCATGTGAGCTTGAGTCGAAAAACAGCTGTGGGTTTAGGGTTTGGGCTTGCTATAGGGGCCTTAATAATTAGAATAAGGGTTTTGGGGCCCATTATAGTAGAATTATAATAAGGAGTGGCTAACATGTTATAGGTAATTATTTAGGCTCCTACATTGAGTTCAACGAACCGTTCCAAATCCTGCCTTGAATCTTTGTCTCAGGCTAACCTCGGCACTGTGCGCAACGTACCTGCGAGTCAGACGAGCTTTGTACATCTCGATACCACATGGTCGTTTCCGAAAATCGGGGACCCTAGTATAATACCCTAAATAGTAGGATCCCTATTATACCCCAAATAAAATGAGGTACTACATATCGGTCTTCGGCGTTCTTGGCGCTACTTTTTCTTGTCTTGCGACTATATCGTCGGAGCATTCTCGGTAAGCTCACTGAGAAACTACGATGCTCATCACATGCCTTGCGGTTCTTGTGCTGCATATTCGGGGGTGTCTGCATGTCCCTGAAGCAGCTGCACAAGCTCCAAGAAGCCGCACAGGTCTACGGAAAGTAAAATACAGCAGCTACTGGAAGCCTTCGACCGGAACTCTCTCCGGATAAGCTCTATACTGTAGGGGCCTTAATAAATCGAAGAGGGTTTTGGGGGCTCCCCATTACGGTTATAGTGTAGTACACCCGCGGGCAAGCCCCAACCCTCAGTCCCAAGCAGAACCTCAAGACGGAACAAGTCAGAGGTCAGATAAGCGCACGCATTCACGACAGTGGCGCCGATAAAGACGACCCGGCTCTGCTGGGTCATGAACAAGTTCCTTAGCGCAGTGGTCCAGATTGAGACCTTTCGGATTGAAGTAGACCTCCCGATCGAAAAGAATTCGGATGTTGGGTTGATCGCTTGGACGGGTTTTCGCACTTCAAGAATCTGGAACCTGCCGAAATTTCAGGATTTGGGGTTGCCAAGGCTTAATTATGGCATGTCGATGTCATCGGAATCCAGGGTGTACGAATTCGGGCGGGCACTGCAAGGCAGTACGGGCTGACTTCACCTCACCCATAACTCAATCCGAACGTCTACAAAAAAGGCTGCTGCCCTTCTTACGATTATGGCGCTCGTAGCCACTTACAGGCGTATTCACAGCTGTTGTAGGATCTCAGAATCCAATGACCCAATGAAATTAATCAGCTGGACTGCAACCTAAAACCCTCAACACTGAACCCCTCCGCAAACCTTTGAACCGAACCTCAAAGGGTTCAGGGGCTGTAAGGTTGAACGGTTTGGCGTTCAGAGCAATCTCCCAAATCCTCAACAACGAAACCCCCAAACCCCCAAATCCCAAGCCCTACAAATGACTAACATTTTGTTGGACTTATACAAGGAACTCGCCAGAATAGGGCATCCCCAAAAAGGAAGGCTTTAGAGAGTCCGGCGCCTAAATAATTACCAATACTATTTGCGGGGGGTTGCTTATTGTAGTTACAGTATAGTTTGCCCCAAAACCATAATTTAATCCTATACTCCTTATGGTAGTTACAGTATAGTTTACCCCAAAATCATAATCTAACTATCAAGGCCCCTATAGTAAAATCTTCAGAGATTATCTGCTCTGAGTCCTTAGCCCAAAGAGACGATTCGTTGACTCGAGGAACATCAGCACCTGCCATGCTGGCCGGTTTGGGGGCTTAAGTTTCGAGGGCTTCATGTAAATTTTAAGGTTTAGGGGTAAAGGGCTGACATCGGGGTTCAAGGGCCGGCTTTGGGGGACAGTTTAGTTCCCTACCCCCACATAGTCCCTCGACTCTCAGTTGGGAAGCAACCTGCGATGCTGAGCTAGGGAATATGCCCGTCTTCATGAGTGATGCTGGCGTTTCCTGCGCTCTGGCGATTTTGACTGCGAGATTGGCGTTAGCACGAACATCGGTGACAAAAGCAGCAAACAGAGACGTTGGCAGCACCAGAATTGAACACCTGAAGTACAACATTGCCGTATGATATACGCGAGAACCATTGAAACGATCACACACCACAGGGCTCCAGCCTGATATCAGCCACCTGCCACGATTTCCCTAACTCCAACACTCAAAGAGCTGAGTTCTCTTACTGTAGGGGCCTTAATAATTAGAATAGAGTTCGGGGACCCATTATACTACGATTATTATGAGGAACCCTCCAAAATAGCATTGTTATAATTATTAAGGCCCCTATAGTACCTCACGCCCAGATCCGAGCTGAGCTCGCATGCTCGCGACGAGATGGCTGTGATTTGGATCTGGGTACTGTTGTCCGAGGCATGGGCCTTGAAAAGCCTGAAAATAAACCCTAAACCCTAAGCCCAAAACCCCAAACCCTCAACACATGCTTCAACATGCCATGTAGTTTGAACCAAACCAAAGATCAAAATAGCACAAGATCCGGCAACAAAGATCTTCTCTCACCCCCTAAATAGCCGTATACTCACACGCCTTAGGAATGGCGCGTGCTGCAATTTGAGGGCTTCGTAAGCGGATGCTCAGTGCTCGAATCATCAACCAAGAAACGAAGCCCTGAACCCCATGAGCCGCTTAATCGTAAGTCCCTAAATCAAGACTTCGGAGCTACCCCCTCAAACAAGAAACCAACAATGAATAGCAAAATCAATGACAATAGCTCAATAATGATTATCATGACAATCGTATAACTGGGACCTATGGGTCGGCTCATCGGGGGATGTAGGATGTGTGCGGAGTCCTATGCACTGCTTAAGATGTTGAGGGCTTCGGGGTAGGTCTTGAGGCTTGATTGAAATTTTTGGGCTTGGGGGTTTAAGGGTTTAGGGTTTGGGGAAAGAGGGTCTCGAGGCTTCGCAGTTTTAGGGCTTAGGGTTTAGGGGGGCGGGTGTTGAGGCTGTGTGTTTAAGGGCTTTGGGTTTAGGGATTGGTGCTTGGGGTGGAGGGTCTTCAGATGTTGGGGAATTTATAATTTAAAAAGGCTTTACTGCTGGAAGGTTTGGGGCCTAAAGTCTGCGGACTCAAAGCGAGCTTGAAGCCACGCACGCAACGGCCACGAAGACCAGGGAGGACTTGAAGAGGAACCTTAGACAAGTGAGCGTTTCCGAAAATTAGGGCTACCTGTTTGGGGGTCCTCATAATAAGGATCCGATCATTTAGGGTACTAGTTATATTGGGGTCCCAAGAAGTGGTGACGCACGACACAGACACGAATCAACCTACCTAAGTAGCCCCGAAGTTATGTTGACTTAGTAAGTCCATAGAACTCAACATAACTCAACATAACTCAACATAACTCCACAAGTCCAAATAACTTCGACCCTTTTTTTAAAGTTATGTTGAGTTATCTTGAAATCGGCTGACGACGAAAAACGTTATGTGGAGTTATTAGGAGTTGTGTATTTTCGTTGTTTCAAAGCTTTTTTAAAGTTATTTGGAGTTATTTATATAACATATATGAACTTTGTGCTGCCTTACATAGTTTTGGCTCAAGCAAAGCGTTTTTCACGTGCGACATCCAAGATGTCGCAAGTCTTGAATCACTTGAAGGCAGCTCAAGGCTTCCTACGGCAGACGATGGCACTGCCGAATTTTGCACTTCTGCAGGGACAGCAGGGTCGTGTGCTTGAAACCATGCTCGGCAAGAGCTCGTCGATGTCGACAGAGGTCGCGAGCCAGATTCTAGCAGAGCTGGACGATGCGTGCTGGGGTATGGAGACCGCGGGGAGGATGAAGGAGATGATTTCAAATATGGTCCAGGAAAAGACCGTTCCGGCCGCGACTGCTGCACGGAAGACTTTGCAAGACTTTACGAACTTCCCGCTGTACATGACGGAAGATCAGTGGCAAGCCTTGCAGAGGCAGCCTTCGGCGGCCGAAGTCCTAGGCCTTCTAGCCCCGATGCTTGCAGAGTTAGGCCTTCGGAGTCCGACCGAGGGCACCTGTGCAGCTGTGTGGATGTTCGGTTACATGGTACGGCAGGAGGCAGTGCCTGATCAAACGATGTTCACGAAGGACTTTCCTGAGTTCAAGGCTCGCTTCAGGAGAGGCCTGCAGGGCAAAGGCGACCCGGTGGATTGGCTGCCGAGCCTTCCGGCGGTGATGCAAGATCTCCCGGCAGCACTCCGTGCTCGGATCTTCAGCAACAAGCCGGCGGCGAAGCCCAAAGTAGATCTGGAGAAGCTGAATGCCCTCACGGTGCAGTACAAAAAGCGGCGATACCCATCGAGCAACGACATAGTGGTGGAGCAGCCAGAGCAGAGCTTGCATCGCTTCGCCTCTTCGGCTAGTGCCGTTATGGATGCTGTGGCTAGGAAGCTGGACGATATCAAGCCGGCGGAGGCAAGTGGAGGTGCAAAGGCAAGTGGAGATGCCAAGGCAAGTGGAGATGCTATGCCCAGCTGTCTCCCGCTGGAAGATCAGCCGCCAGCCCGGCTTCTTGCGTTGGAGGACGTGAAGATAGAAAAGAAGTCTGAGTGCAGCGAAGGCCCGAGTGTCGCTGCAGAACTCAGGGCACTAGCAGGCAAACGGAAGCAGGAGCCGCCAGCCAGTGCGGAGAGTACCGTGAAACGGAAGCCTGCGGCAGCAGTAAGGCAGAGACCGGCAGCAGCAGAGTTAATGCTAGTGCCGTTTCCACTGTCAGAACCAGAAGCAAAGGCAGTGCCGCGTCCTAAGTGTAAGCCTGCAGTGCTTCGGAAACCCTCAGCAGCCCCTGCGGTGCTTCGGAAGCCCTCAGCAGCACCCACGGTGCTTCGCAAGCCTGCGGCAGCCCCTGCGGAGCTGACAGCCTCTGCGGGACAGAAGCGGAAGGACATTGCGGGATACACGATGGAGGAACGGCTGCTTGCCCAGCCCAACGGCTGCGGCCGTTGCCGGTGGATTGCCGGATGCACTCCCTCGTGTTTCCGGGCGTGAGCGGGGCAGCGGTCACGGCAAGCATGCAATATTCCCGGCTGCACTCGGTCTTCCATTTATATATAGCCGAGGGATCATGCATGGCAACGATTTTCCCGAACCTCGGTAGGCGTAGGATATTAGCGCTCACACCCGGAGTTTTGCAGTGGCCCGCAACAAGTGTTTGCACATTTACGTCGGCATGAGCCAGCCTGTCCTGCTGCATGTTTGCAGATGTGCTTAAGTTTTTGTATATATAGCCGCGAGGCTCAAGAGGGGCAGGCTTTCCGGGCTGCAGAAGAGCCCCTGCCGTGAAGGCGAGACTGGGGTTTCCTTTCGGGTTTGGGGTTTAAGAG